AACTCTGTATTATCTGGTCGGTTCTGGGAATCTGCGCCATACTTATGACTGTGTTTCACGAGTATGCAACAGTTTGGTATTGGAGCAGACCAGCATTGGATGACTCACCATTGATTGATTGATTGATTGATTGATTGATTGATTAGCTACACCTGTACTCTGTTATCATTAAATCACAAGTTGCAAATTTTTTTTATTCTTTTTCTCGTACTTATATAGTAATTAGGTAGTGAATTATAATTTTAGGGTTGCGACTTTTTCTCCATACTGCGCAAATTAGGGACTCGCTAATCACGATTTAAACTAATTAGCGCTAATAAGGGTTGGACCTAACCTAATCTAACGACCTATCAAACTATGGGAAGTAAGTGCCAGCCAGGCAGATCGGGCCTGAGCACGGCCACATTCAACTGCAACTTCACGGAACTTTCACTTTTTGCAAACGCATCTTTCATTGCGAGTAAAGTTTGAATCTTTTCAAGCAAATTGTGTATCTTCCTACAACCATTGATCTTCTACTTGCTTCATGACCTCATAATGATGCTAAACTCTCCCGATCAGGGTTACCAGCCCGTACGTACGGAGGTCCCCGGGCAGACCTCGGCACCTACGGGCATTCGGGGTCCCGTACGGGGTCCGAACCCGATGGCGTTCGGCCCCCACCAAAACTTATTTCGCGGCCTAAAAATATTTTTTTTTTTGATTTTTTTTTTTGTGAGTTCTCTATGACGTGAGGTACACGCCTTTAAATTTTGAATTCATTTGGCTCAGCCAAATAAGAATTAAAAATCGCCAAAGATGGCGGTGTCAAAACGTGCTTGCCCACTTTTTTTTTTCACTTTTTACTTTTTGTTTTCACTTTAGTTCGGGGTCTAAACCATTTTATTATTTTTTGAAACTTTTTAAGTGTGTTTTGCATTATGTGAAGCACACGTATGTAAATTTTCAGGGCATTTAGCTATTCCAAAACAAAATGAAAAATCGCCAAAGATGGCGGTGTCGAAAACGTGCTCGCGAACTCATTAAATTTAAGGGGTCCCATACGTTCGGGCGTTCGGGTTCAGGCGTTCGGCGCGTCCCAAACGCCGGTTACCCTGCTCCCAATTAAATTTCGTGAAATTATTAAAATTATGTTTAAATGTTTAAACTTGCTTAAACTTTATTCATTTTTATTTGTGCAAATTCAAATATTCTTTAATTAAATATTGAACTTTTGTGAAATTAATTATTGCAAATTTAAATATTCTTTAATTAAATATTTAATCTTTTGCCAAAATTAAAGTTCATTTAATTAAATCCGTATTTTTCGATTAAATTTATGTAAATAATTAAATATTTGCAAGGAAGATGAGCATTAGCGAACTCCAGCACTCAAACAGCATCATACATATGTATCCAGATAGTCTTGACCTCGAACCAACAGCAGTCATGCATCACGAGATTCACCAAATCAAAACACACCAATAGTTCGTAATTGACAATGCTGAAATAGTCTCTCATCATCATCAACGRAGAACAAGAGTTGATATCCTATTGGCGCTCGGCGCCCAGACTACTAATGGCAGATCCTATCTAGCCTAATACTACAATGCCGATGTTGACAACAA